ACACACACACACACACACACACACACACACACATATATGAGTAAGATAACAACTCAGACACTTTAGAGTTTTGGACTTTAACACCCTCTTTCCTACATAAATGGCACTATGCTATACCCTAACTACTTGCTTTATTCACTTAATATGTCCTGGAAAATCAATGTATGAAACTTTTTTTAATTTTGGCAGCTGGCCAGTACAGGTATCAAACCGTAGACCTTGGTGTTATAAGCACCACAATCTGACCAATCGAGCTCACCAGACAGCCTGAATGTGGGAAACTTTTTTTTTTTTTTTTTATTGAATCAAAATTGATTATACATATTTTGGGGGCTCAACATTGACATATTTTGAACAAATCAATATTACAAGCATATATATTGTTACAAATCATGCTTATTCTTTGTGCCTCTTGTCCAATCTCACCCTATCCCTCTCTCCCACCCCCTCCCCCCTCTAATTACCCTAGATTTCTTCTCTCCTTTTGAAATAATAATGGTTACTCTGCTGACTTGTTGCCTAGATGTTCTGTCCAATACTGAGAGGTGTGATCAGGTCCCTCAATATTATCATAGAGCAGATGGTTCTTCTGTCACTCTGGAATGGGCTTTGTGGAGAGAGACATCCTCTTCTTTATCTCTGCTGGTGACTCTCCTTGTGTCAATGCACTCCAGTGGTTCGCAGACCATCTGCATGGTGGTTGTGGCATCTAGCCACTTTTGTGGCAGCCATGGTTATTGTGTAGGTTGTGGTGGGCCACGCACATGGAGATGATGTTTTTGGCATCCTCCTTGGTGCAGGCAGTGTGCCTGGTTGTGTGTGGGGGTCCGTTTCCTGGCTCCATCCTTTGGTCCCCGATGGGACCCGAGGTGCTGGCACGGTGTTCCTAGTTGTGGGAGGGGGGTCTGGTCCCCAGATCCAAGCCTCAAGTCCCCGGGTGGGCCCCACGGTGCTGGTGTAGCGTGCCTGGTTGAGGGGCGGGGGGACCAGTCCCCAGCTCCATCCCTCAGGTCCCCGGGCAGACCCTGAGGTGCTGGAGTGGTGTGCCTGGTTGTGGGAGGGGGGTCCAGTCCCCAGATCCATGCCTTGGGTCCCCTGGTGGCCCCCAAGATGCTACTGGTGTGCCTCGTTGTGGGAGGGGGCTCTGGTCCCTGGTTCCATGCCTCACGTCCCTGGGCAGACCCAAGGTGCTGGCAGTGTGTCTGAGGTGGAACTAATTTTTTGTGTCCTTTGCTTATTTCTAAAGTGGGGGAACTTCCTGTTGGGACTAGTACCTGAGCTGTGTGGTTGAGCTAAATTGTTGCTTTGCTGCTGCTTCCCTAGGGAAGGCTTTTTGTGCAGCACAGGTTATAATGGTTGGCTTTATAGATATTTCGGGCTCTCCAGAGACTTGGTGCACCTGGGTTGTGCAGTAACTCTGATCTGGGCCTGAGTCTTTTCATCAAACTGCCCCCCATGAAATTCTATATTCTTGACCAGTCTCCTCTGAGTGGTCCTACACTGATTGGGGTGCAGTTCAGCTGTCCTGGCTGTACCTTAGTATTCCCCTGGTAGGCCCATCTCTCCCACTGCCTGTGCTCCAAACACTTCCCGTGAGATGGGCTGTGCACCAGTCCTTTGTGATGACTCACCAGCCTGTGAGTGGCTCCATTTTTTCAGTTGTTGTGGCTCCTCACTCCTATGTGGGTCCACAGGAGCCCTATTAGTGGTTTTGCTAGCCTGGGGGCCACCAAGGCCCTCTTCTCCCCTGCCACCTACAAGCAACTCCATCCGAAGGGCACAGCTGCGGCTTTTGCTGGCTCCTGCTCCATGTGCTCAGCAGTTCCAGCCTTAAAGCAGCCATAGCACAAAATGGTCTGAGCAGCTTTTTTCTTTCTCTCATTGTGGCTTCTCCCACCTTCATGCACTCCGTAGGTCTCTCCTCCTCTTTCCCTGAGCTCCAGTAGCTCCAGCTTAGCTGTTGTTGCTTTTTTATATAGTTGTATATAGGTTGATTTCTAGGAGAGAGTGACGCTGGGGACTGTCTATTCTGCCATCTTGACCGGAACCAAGGGAAACTTTTAATAAACCAACAAGTCATTGTATTTTTAATCAATGATGTTTTAGCAATATTTTTAATATCCTACCAAAAAAAGCTACATAATTGGTCATAATGGTCCAAAATATAAAATTATTAAATAATCAGTATAAAGGTTACTGTAAGTTTATACGTGTTATGCTACTCTCAGATTTTACTAACTTAATTTTTTCTCTAATTTCATTTTTCTATCCTCTGAAATAAATTATCTAAATCCTTGATCTTCTCTGGCGACGAAGAAAGTTCAAGTATAATTGTGGATCACTGGTGTATTAGTCCATTTATGTTGCTTATAACAAAATACACGGAACTGGGTAATTTATAAGAAAATGAAATTTATTGCTTACAGTTTCTGAGGCTGGGAAGTCCAAAGTCCATCTGGTGGTGGTGACAGTGACCCAGGTGTCTCACATTGCAAGACGGTGGAAGCAGAGAGAGAGAGAGACAGACTCTCTTCTTTTAAAGCCCTCAGAAGCATGCCCCTGACCGCCATTTTTAATCCATTCACTATGGCGTGGTCCTACAATCCAATCACCTCTTCAAGGCTCCACCTTTCAATTACCATAATAGGATCTCCCACCCTCTTAACAGTTACAGTGGGGGCTAAGTTTCTAACACATAAAACTTGGGGGACACAATTCAAGCTCCAGTGAGTTTTGCAGGGATGTAATTCAATCTACCACAACTAGACTCAATCAAAACATTCTACATAAGAAACAAATTCAAATGCTTTCGGAAATAAAATAACAGCATGGGTTACATTTTTAAAAAGCAAGCCAAATAAAGCAACACAAATATTCTCAAATGTAAGTTTTCAGTTCATGAACAAGTGTTTTCAGGACAGTCCAAACATTGCCTGCAAATATTTCTTTTCCTTGATTATCAGGCCAAGTAGTAGATTTGGGTAAAAAATAACTAACAAGTTAGTTGCAATTAATATATTTTAATATGTGCGTCAGTCAATTTTTTTGTAAATAGAGGAAATGCCAGTAAATTTGGGCTTGCCTAATAAAATGCAAACTTAGAAGAATTTATATATGACTATACACATCATATATATGATATATACATATAGCTCTTACGTATATACCTAATAGCAGATGAGTGTCTTAAAAAAATGACTTCGGAATATAAACCAAAAAATAAAGAAATAATTATTTAGCTCTGGATAATGTAATTATGAAGAATTACGGGGGGGGGTGTCACAGTTTTATATATTTCTCATGCATTCTACAATAAGGATATTATTACTGCAATCTATTACAAAGTTAATATTAATCTAGTAATAGATCACAGTAAAAATATCTTTATTATTAAGTGAACTGTCATTTCTCATTATTATTAATAATATCCTTATTACTAAGTGAAATGTCATTTCTCTTATTATAATTAAGTTCTCTTATTAATAATAAGTATATTTTTACTGTGATCTATTACTAGATTAATGTCATTTCATTTAATAAGTGTAATAAGTGAAAACAAGCTGGAAAAACTAGTTTGTTTTTCAGTCTTTTTTTAAGTAATAAAAATTCTATAAGGTCAAAGGGCACAAAATTAGGCACAGAAATCAATATTGTTCATATACATGTATATATTAAACATAGGTATATATTATATCTCAAACAATATCAATATATTATATATTACATATTACAATATGTACTATTATATATTATCTATGTATATAGTACATAAAAGTATATCAGTGTATGTCTCTGTGTGTGTGTGTGTTATAAGATAATGGAAGATAATGGAAGAAAAGTACCCATTTACAACAGAAACAAAAGAGATAAAATACCCAGTAATAAATTTAAGTGTAAAGGCATATACGAAGAAAGCATTAAAACACAACTAAAGTTAAGAGAATAAGAAGACAAGCCACGGACTGGAAGAAAATATTTGCAAAATACACATATGATAAAGGACTGTTATCCAAAATATACAAAGAACTCTTAAAACTCGACAATAATAAAACAACTCAATTAAAAAATGAGCCAAAGTCCTTGACGCCTCACCAAAGAAGATGTACAGATAGCAAGTAAGTATACGAAAAGATGTTCCGCATCCTATGTCACCAGGAAAATGTAAATTAAAGTAACAATGAGAAACCACTACACACTTATTACAACAGCCAAAATATGGAACATTGACAACACCAAATGCTGGTGAGGATGTAGAGCAAGAGGAACTCCAATTTGTTGCCAGTGGAAACCCAAAATGGTATAGCCACTTTGGAAGACAGTTTGGCAGTTTCTTAAAAAGCTAACATGATCAAGATATTTCACCCCTAGGGATTTACCCAAATGAGTTGAAAACTTACATCCACAAAAAAAACCCTACACATGAATGTTTGTAGCAGCTTTATTCACAACTGCCAACACTTGGAAGCAACCAAGATGTCCTTCATGGCAAATAGATAAACAAACTCTGGTACATCTATACAATGGAATATTATCCAGTGATAAAAAGAAATGGGTTATCAAACCATGAGAAGACATAGAGAACCTTAAATACATATTGCTAAGTAAAAGAAGCCAATCTGAAAAGTCTAGAGGCTGTATCATTCCAACTGTATCACATTCTGGAAAAGGCAAAACTACAGAGACAATAAAAAGATCAGTGGTTTGGGAGGAAAGGAGGGAAGGATGAATAGATGGAACCCGGGAGATTTTTAAAGCAGTGAAACTATTCTGTATGATACAGGATATCATACAGCACTGGAAATGTGTCATTAGATATTTGTCAAAATTTATAGAATGCACAACATGAAGAGTGAACTCCAATATAAACTATGCACTTTAGTTAATAATAATGTGTCAATATTAGTTCATCAATTATAACAACTGTACCACACTAATGCAAAATGTTAATAATAGGGAAGACCATGTACAGATGAGAAAAGAGACATATGGGAATTGTCTCTATTATCTGCTCAATTTTCTGTAAATTTTACAATATTCTGTAAGTTTAAAAATGCTCTAATAAACAAATCAATTATCAACTGAAATCAGTGAACTCCTTTATAACAATGGCATAAGGGAGACCATAGTACAACTTAAAATCCAGAAGTCAAAAAGAAAAGATAAATTTGATCACATAATTTTTAAAACTACAGAATAGGGAAATTCAAAAGATAAATAACAAACTTAGGGAAAAAATCTGCACATCGTGTTTCCTTTATATGAAGAGCGCGCCTAGAAATCAAGAATAAAATTTAAAACACAATAGAAAAATGGGAAAAAGATATCAAGCAACAATTCAATCATATTTCTATGAAGAGTATGCAACTACAAAAAAGTACCAGAGAGAGAAAGAATATGCTCACCAGGCTCTGGGCATTTCAAACTGATGGTTTTCCCACACGAAAATAGGATGATAGATTGAAAGGCATTTTTCTTCCGCAGGGCAATTTGCAAGGTACAGATATGATATGGCATACTATTTGGTACAGTTCTTTAACTTAGTTCTTCAGCACTGGATTTGGTGTCAAACTTGGATTCACACTTTATGGAAAGACAATCTTGGTACCCTCCTATCCCTCAAAGAATCTTCTTTCTCTGTTTCTTCACCCTCGTTTCTGGGGCGATGATAGTCATCAGGTGTCCATTGGAAAAACAGCATGACTAGTGAGCTTTCTGAGAACAAATATCATATCTATTACTTGGACTTTTTGCTAAGCTTCATATGATCTCCACCATCAATATCGCCACCCCTCCTTGGTCCCAGGGAAGGGATTCCAAGGCAGCCCAATAGCTCTTTGGAAAAAGGCCATCTTTCACTCATTATAGTTGGCTTCATAGTCTACAGGCCTCAGGGCTCATGGTTGTCAGGAATTTCTAAAGACTTTATGTTAATATACTATTAAGACTGGAACATTTGAAAGTGTCCATTTGTAAAGTGATAACCACAACTTTTCACTGATAAGTTTAAATTTCCTGTAATTTAATTTTCCCCAATTTTTGTGAGAATTAGGTAGGAAAGGAGAAGGAAGAGGGGAGCCAATCGGAAAAGAAGATAGTCAATGTCAGCAAACATCTTTGTGGATAACAGGCTTACAATGTTAAATTGGAAAAGCCCATGTAAACTCCTGTCCTTAACAAATCATTATTTTCTAGTTCTGTCACCAAAGAGAATCCCAGACTTCATTCACAGGTAGATTGCAGGAATGGACCACAGACAGACCTAAATCCCAGGCTAAAGATTGCATGCCAGGGAACTTAAACTTAGATTCTCTCTCTCTCTCAGTAAACACTCAAGTATGTACTAGAACCATAAGAACTCTGTCTGTACTTACTTTGCAGACACAGAGCTATAAATTCCAGGAAAAAAATCAGGCTGGGTTATGAAGGAAGCCTGGTTCTTTAAAAATCCCAGTGAGAATAGCAAAGATTAACTTCTTACCTGATGCTACGGTATGAATGTTTACGTCCCCCCGAAATTCATATGTTGAAATTCTACTCCCCAAAGTGACAGTATTAGGAAGTGGGGCCTTTAGGAGATGAGTAGGGCCTGAGGGCAGAGCTCTTGTGAATGAGGTTAGTGCCCTTTCGTAAGAGACCCCAGAGAGCTCGCCCTTTCCACCACACAAGGAGACAGAGCAAAGATGACCATCTATAAACCAGGGGCTCTCGCCTGACACCAAATCTACAGACACCTCAACTTTGAACTTCCCAGCCTCCAGGACTGTGAGAAATAAACTTATATTATTTATAAGCAACCCTGTCTATGGTATTTTGTTATAGCAGCCCGAACAGACTAAGACATCTGGTGAAATCCTCACTCCACCAGTAGAATCATAAGAAATTGTGTGACCATGTGGTCTTGTTGAGTCATCTACTTTTATACAAAGTATCTACATGTATCCTTTACCATTAAATAAATTTTAGATCCTCAGTGTGAGAAGACAGACCAACATTTGTGTGAAATTGGTGCCTATATATGTAATGTTAAAACCCTAAAATATTTTAATGGATTGTGGTTGTATAAAGTGAAATCAATAAATATGTAACAATAAATAAGTGAATGGGTAACTCCTGTACTTACAAGAGAACATGAGCAACGATGGCATTCACATCAAACAAGGCATCAGTAGGGAATTCTCTGAGCAATATGTTGCCCCTATAAAAAGTTTAAAAACACGTTACAGAAATATTTCCCTAGAATCCAAGTTACCTAATATATCTGCTTAATACAGTAGGTTATAAGTTCTTTGATGTTAGAACTTGATGTTAATATAGGTTATAAGTTCTTTGATAATGTGTCTTAACCTTGCATCCTGTGTATATACCAGAGTGCTGGCTCATAAGACACTCTCAAATATCTACTGAATATACACCCAATAAATATGTTGACTTTGAAAGTTTAGGCTCCGTCCCTGGAAAAAGACTGGAAAAAAACATAAGTCCAAATAAGACTTCCTACCAACCTCCCCAACATACACACACAGATTCCCCAAATCGAGCTGGGAAGGAGATGAGTAGGAGAGAGAAAGAAGTGTCCTCCACAGTAGATCCCTGAGGAAACAGGATCTTTCCCCACTTCCTAAGCCAAATCCCAAGGGTTTAAGAAAAGGATTTAAGAATCCTCAGACAGATTAGCAGACCCAAGTGCAGAAGAATCTGTAACCTGGACATTGGCAGATCCCTCAAAAATAAAATACATTTATTTCACACCTGAATATGGACCTGACATATCTACTCAGAATACTACATTTGCTAAACGCTTATTTAACAGGCATTTGTAGTAAGAGTTTACATAAGAGTCTCTCTTAATATTCAAAACAACCCTATGAGGTATGTATTATTCCCCTCATTTTATAAATTAGAAAGCTAAAGTGCAGAGAGGTTCGGTAACAAATCCATTATTTGGACTTTCTGCTAAGCTTCATATGATCCCCACTACATACAACTTTATTCTGGCTTACTGATACTTTATATACTTGAATATTCTGGGAGCATAGCTTTAAATTTGTCCATCACACTCAAAAAAATAGTTTACCTGAATAAATATGCTTTCATCAAATCCTTTTCTTTTCCACAGTATCTTGATGTATCTTCTTTGACACAATTAACCTTTAAAAGATTACATTTAAGGCATAGAGTATATATCAAAAGGTCATGTTTCTTGATTAAGAAAACAAGAAGGAAAATTAAGCATTATAGCTAGTTTATAGGTCAAAATTGTTTTACTTTTTTTCTAATTTGTATGCTATAATTGTTCATTTATTCAAGTGTGTGATGTAACCCAGAGAAAAGAACTATATCTTCACCTAATAGTATATTTAATTAAACATAACAGTTTACATTTAATTCTATCTTTTGGAACAAGTAGGGGGTAACCAGGTAGAAAAGGAAGGACACAGTGAATGCAAGATAGAAAAGCATGAGCAAAAGCCAGGAAACATGAAAGTGAATGGAAAGTTGGAACCATGAAAGCATCTTAGCAGCTGGAACACAGGTACGGCAGATACTGCTGGTTTCCTAACCCAAAATCCATCCTCCCTTTTTATTAACAGAACTTTGCTAAAAGTAAGTGTCCTCACTAAAAGAATTTTCCAGACCTTCCCAACAGGTAGGGATGGCCAAATGGTATTAGGAGAAGTCATTAAGACATCTGGTAAGGGCCGGCCCGGTGGCGCACTGCTACAGTGCGCCGCTTGGGAGCGTGGCGGCACGCTCCCGCCGAGGGTTCAGATCCCACATACAGACCGGTTCCCGCTCACTGGCTGAGCGAGGTGCGGGCGCAACACCGAGGGTTGTGATCCCGTTGCTGGTCCCGGTCCGGTACGGGCGCGACACTGAGGGTTGCGATCCGTTGCCAGACATGAAAAAAGACCAAAAAAAAAAAAAAAAAAAAGACATCTGGTAAAATCCTCACTCCTAGGACTGGAATTCCTAGAAGGCTCTTAAAAGGGGGCTGACTTATACTACTGCACTTCTCACTTCTCAACAAAAATAGACAAGATAGCTAAAGTACCAGCAGCAATCATGGACCATAATGCATCTTTACAGAGGAAACCTCTTGCTAAGGATGGTGCAATAGAAAGAATGAACCTGAGTCCCTGATGATGTTAGAGCAGCCATACCGGATCTGGACAGCTTATAATCCAGACCCTATGTGAAAAAAATACTACGACAATCCTGGCAGCAACATAAAGTTAAAACAGAAGGCAAAAGAGCACAAAGATAGGGAGGTAGGTTAAAAGAGTATCACATTAGAATAGGTCAAAGTTTCCTGGGAACTGAAGTAAAGCTGAAAAGGACAGAGGAGATTCAAGAGACTTTTCACAAACACAATAAGTAAAACTAAGGAGAAGACTGAATGTGTACATGCAGCATGGGATAGAAGGGGAGAGGAAAGAGAAAAAGAGAATTAAGGGGTTTCTAGATGGGACAAATGAGTAGCCACCAACATAACTTGCAAAGGCTGGAAGAAGAACAGTTGTTTTATTTTCAATTTGGAAAGGTTTTTGTTTATTTTAAGATGGGTTGTTTTGGCTGTTCATATTAAGTTTAATAGAGTTTGAGGAAGCAGAATGAAAATTAGGGAAGCTACATTTGTTTAAAAACCTACAAAAGGGGAACTGACACTTAGAAAAGAATAGGGAATAGAGAATTAGAATTAAAAGTCAACGGAAAGGGCCGGCCTGGTGGCGCACTGGAGAGTGCGCGGGCGCTCCCGCCCAGGGTTTGGATCCCATGTGGAGACCAGTTCCCGCTCACTGGCTGAGCGCGGTGCGGGCGTGACACCGAGGGTTGCAATCCCGTTGCAGGTCCCCAGTGCGGGCGTGACACCGAGGGTTGCAATCCCGTTGCAGGTCCCCAGTGCGGGCGTGACACCGAGGGTTGCAATCCCGTTGCAGGTCCCCAGTGCGGGCGTGACACCGAGGGTTGCAATCCCGTTGCAGGTCCCCAGTGCGGGCGTGACACCGAGGGTTGCAATCCCGTTGCAGGTCCCCAGTGCGGGCGTGACACCGAGGGTTGCAATCCCGTTGCAGGTCCCCAGTGCGGGCGTGACACCGAGGGTTGCAATCCCGTTGCAGGTCCCCAGTGCGGGCGTGACACCGAGGGTTGCAATCCCGTTGCAGGTCCCCAGTGCGGGCGTGACACCGAGGGTTGCAATCCCGTTGCAGGTCCCCAGTGCGGGCGTGACACCGAGTGTTGCGATCCCGTTACCAGTCAGTAAAAAAGACAAAAAGGGAAAAAAAAAAAAAAAAAAAAAAGTCAATGGAAAGACATAACAAAAAAGTGAGTTTTAGTGTATGTAATTTTAAAAAATTTTGTTTAAAAGTCAGAGCACAGGGATGGTTGACACTATGACAATTGATCTGTCCATTCATTCACCCATTCAACAGGTATTTGAACACCTACCATATGTCAGTCATTGTTCTAGCTATTGGAGGTATAAAATTCCAAATAAAAATCTTTACCTTTAGAACTTACATTCTAAAAGTGGAGACAATTTAAAAACTAATTAATATGCAATATTAAATGCTATAAATAAAGAAAATTGTAAGGGGATAGCATGTGACAGGGCATTTTAGATAGGTAAACAAGGAAGGCTTCTCTGAGGAGGTAACATTTGCACAAACTGAAGTAATGGAGTGATGCATACAAATATATAAATACATGGAAGAGATAAGTTCTAAGCAGATGTGGGAACACCTACAAAGGCCCTGTAGTAATAGCACCTAGAAACTGTAACATAAGCAATTATAAAGACTGGAAAGAATAGAAAATAAAAAATTCTTCAATGACCTTAAGGCATTGGTCCAAGTAACAAAAAGATGACTAGTATGTATTAGGAACAAAGAGAGCAAGGTAAAGGAACAGAAAATGAGATCAGAGATGAAGCCAACGTCCACAATACTCGGGAGTTTGGATTTTATCATAACTGTGATGGGAAGCCTTTCTGAGCAGGGAAGTAATGTGCTCTGACACATCTGACCACATATGAAAAAGAGTTTGCAGTGGAACAAGAGTGAAAGGAGAAAGGCCAATTATTAGGAGGCTAATGTGGTTTCCCGGATGAGAAGTGATGACAAAGAGAAGTGAAAGTTAAAGTATACAAAGTGATCAGATTTGAAAAGTTTTGATAGGGAAAGCAGTAGATGGATTGGTCATAAGAAAAAGAAAAGCCAAGGATGACAAAAGCATTTTGTTTTACAATCCACTTTGATAAAGTAATGCAGCTATACCAGGTTTCTCTTGGTTATCACTTGCATGACATTTTCTTGATTCATTTACTTTGAAGATTTCTGAAGCCTTTACTTTTGATGCATTTCTAAATAGCATACAGTCAGATTTGGTTATTGTATCCAGCTTGACACTCTTTGTCTTAAATGGAACATTTATTCATATTTTAGTGATTTCGTCATCCACCTTTGCCTCCTGCAATCTTAACTCTTGAAGACAATCTCAAATGCTACTTTTTGTGGTCTTTTCCCATATAATTTGTGACTTTCCACCTCAACAATCAGATATAGGCTTTTTTCCTTTAAACCTCTACAGCACTTTCTCTCTTATTACAATGATCAGGTTCTGCTAGTTATTAAAATGATATGTGAATGTGTTTTATCCCCCCTATTTAGGATATAAACTCTCCAAAGAAAAGCACTGTGTCTTAGTCATCTTTCTATTCAAAAGAAGACTAAATACAGTAAGTCCATTTCAATCTCATAAACATTTACTGAGTATCTACTATCTGCCAGGGACTGAGCTTGTTCTCAACATGGGTCTGTTTAATTCACCACAGTCTTCTCTCCAGATAGCTCAGTGTCCTCAAAGTGTAAAACCAAGAGTTTAAGTTATGTTAGTTCATAAAGGCCTGGGCACAAACCTTAATACTTTACTCCAGTAATGAGATACACAGTTACTAATTACTTGTTAACTAATTACTAGATAAACAGCATGATTATACCTTTTGAGTTTCTTACCAACCTATGATTTCGTTTCTAAATTTCAGCTTAAAATTTTATTCAAAGCTCCTTGGTTATGAGTGCCATTACACCTAGAATGTAACCAGTTGTTCAAAGCTAACTGAGACTTCCATACATATAGAACTGACACATTAAAAAATAGGTTTTGATTTAAGGTAGATCGCCAAGGTTAGTTAATCTTTTTATGCTTTCTGCCCTGGGAACTCCAGCTGCAGAGACCAAGAGGGACAACAGCCATCTCTTGGAAAAGAAAGGCTAATGAACTAAGAAAGAATAAATGTACACAGAAAGTCAGGTAGACATTAATTTGAAAGAATTTAATACCATTAGATTATTTCTCATTCAGTTTTCTGATGTACAAATTCTAAGTTTAACTTAAATGAAAGGTTTATGTAGCTATCTAATCCATGATGCATGCGGAGATTTTCCATAATATTCCATGGCAAGTTTAAACATTTTTTGAGAAAAAAAATTAAACATGTAATTTCAAGTTGAGTTTTCTTAACTTTCCTCTAAAGATAAATGTGAGAAACTGTAACATAAGCAGTTATAAAAGACTTGGAAGAATAGAAAAAAAATTCTTCAATTACCTCAGTTTGTGCTAATAGAAATTTAGTAAATAGTTAAATTGTGGCTCTCCATTATGATATATTCATTAGGCAAAAAAAAGAAAAAAACCTTACTATCAGTTTGAAAAATGACACCATAGCCCCAATAGAATGGTTTATGAAATAAAGTTAAATTCTAAGCTAAAGAATTGTAAACAGTTTTTTTTTCCTCTATACATACTGTTGTATTATACAATAATCTGAAACTACTTTCTGTGCTTCTGTTTATTCTTATGAAAAAAAAGGGAGAAAAACTATTTTTCCAGTTCTGAAAAAGATGTGAAACAAAAGTATTTTAGATACACAGTCTTAAGCCATACAGTTGTAAAATGTTTATCACTAATACTTTTCTAACATAAACGTCTTTCTACCTTTGCAACTGAAATTCCATAGTCCTGGAGAGGTCTAACAGCTTCATTTAGTTCTTCAAGAAACATAGAAGTACTTGGAGAATCTAAAATAAAAAATGTTTTATGAAGGTTGATGAATTGCCCCTTAAAAGAGATGAATTTTCAAAATTAAAGCCAAAATCTACAAACACAAAACAAATATATTTATTTGTCCAACTAGCTGCAACAACAAATAGTTAAGTTACTAAACACACCTAGTTACATATTTTCATACCCTTATTTTCCTATTGCCTCATTACTCTTATTTCTGTTTTTATCATGATATATTTAACCTTGTAAGTTACCTTAAAACCTTCCTAAAACAGGAATATGATAAATAAATGTTTAATTTACACCTAATATTTGGCATTATTATCCCAAGTTTAATACCATATACACAATACACACATACACAAAACTTTCAAAATGAGTTTAAAATACCATTTTCAAATCACGACTATAATAAGGGAGCAAAATAGAAATGTTGATTCCCTTCACTTACTAGTTCCAATAGAATTTTTGATGCATGAAGACTAAATGATACCATTACAATTATTATCTATGTTCAGTAGTTATATTAGTTAACTCAGTGTAACTAATAATAACTAAAGCAGAACATTACACTAAAGCATTACTAATACTACATTAAAAGTTTTTAAAAACATAAAAAATATTTACATGCTAAAAATATGAGAAAGTATAGTTACAGTAATGACTAGATGAAATTCAGATGTTATATTAGTAGCTAACTCTTATTTAGTGTATACTATGGACTAGGCATATGAGCAAATTCATTTAATCCTCAGAACAAACTTACAAATCAAGTACTATTTTCTCATAATAGAAGACAAAAGCAATGCATAGAGAAGCTACATGACTTCACCAAGGTCACACTACAGGCCAAGTGGCAGAATCTGGATCCAAACCCAGGCAGGAATATTATAGTAACATCTTTACGACACATATTATTAATCCTGACAGTAAGTTCCAACTGAGCATATGATTAAACAGCACTACAAACAACACAAGAATCATATCAGAAATTTAAAAATACTTACCAGCTCGACAAAAATAAGCTAAAGAAGCTTTTCCTGGTTGCAATGTATTGAAATATTTCTGAGGACTCAGTTCTGGTAGAGAGGCTACTGTTGACTTGTAAAAAATGCCCATCATGATAAAAGAGATCCAAACTCTAAATACATTGAAGCTGGAAGACATCATCATCTGTAGTGGTATATGAGCGGATTTTGTCTGTTTTTTTTTCACTGCTGTGTTCTGTTGCCTAGGACATTACCTAGGTATTCCACAAAGTTTTGTTGAATGAATTTGTTAAGTGAATGAAGTAAAATCTACAAAAAGAAAAAGTTAAGTCATTACTTACATTATTTGGTTTTGCTAGTACTTTACTATTTTTCTCCTAGCAAAAATTTGAGAGGGGATGATATATAATGACACTGATTTAATAATCATATTGATTTCTGATATCTGCAGAAGATATCAAAGATATATGGAAAATGCTTAAGTAAGCATCTTAAGTTTCATAGATAGTTACAAGAGTATGTTGAGCTAATTGTCATTTTCAAGGTTTCTGAAATTAATTTTCAAACATTAACCAATCCATTTATTTTATTTAATTTTATTTTGTCAATATACAATGTGGTTGGTTATTGTGGCCCATTACCGAAGCCTCCCTTCCCTCTCCCTCTCCCCCCTCCCTCCCAACAACCTCATATCTGTTCGCTTGTCATAACAACTTCAAGGAATTGTTAATCCATTTTTTTTTAACTGGGCATTTTATCTTTCTTGACCTCCAGTTGATTTACAATAAATACTCAATAGTTATTTAATACCATTAACATGGGAGTGAGACATCCAAAATATGCCTACTGTCTTTTTAGTTTAAACCCCCTACAATATACCTGTTAAAATTATGGATGAATATTCCTCCTAAATATACATATTTTTTAATGCATAAGGCTTAGATTTCTTTATACTGTTTGGAAATTAACTCGTATTTTTATTCAATTCTATTTTCTGAACTCAGATTTGTTCTAGATGACCTCGTCTCACCTTTGTCCCTGATGTCCTTACTTTCATACTGTCCTCTGTATCTGCTGTCAATTCTGTCTTCCATTTTGCTACTTTTCAAATTTTTCTTGAAGAACATTTTACTAATGAAGATCATTTTACTAATGATCTATATTTTCTAAGTTGAAAATATAGTTTAGGAAAATTAGTATAATATATAAATATCATACTTCTAGAAGTAAATCTAAACAGCTAAAGGTGAGAATTTTGTCTTAATTTTTTTTTTTTTTTTTTGCTTCAAATAGGACCTATATATTTCAAATGCAAGATCACTATCTCAAAATAGATAGGAAAAAATACCAAAATTATTTCTATGTACTCATACACATAAGAGTAGAGGTTTTCAGTAAGGAATAAAAAGATAAAAGAAAAATTTAAGGAAAAATCATATTAAAATGGATATTTACTTTGATCATTCAATATTATGAATAAGCACATAATACCTCTCCCTAACAAGCAGGTATTCCTAAAAAAAAAAAGGAGCTATTTACTCACTGATTACTTCCTAATAATTCTGTTCATGAGAGCTAGCTTGTATCAAACTGTGAAAAAAATCTGCCATTAATTTTTTAATAATAAGTCAAGAGTTCAAAAACTCAAAGTAAAATGAGGAGAGAGAACTATGAGAGATACAAAAATGTAATTGTGATGGTATAATTAAGAGGTATCTTTGACATTAAGATTGATTATACATTATGGCCATTTTAAATTAGCCTATTTTAAGGCCAGTTTATGTGAATGGGGATGTTTTAAAATTGGTTTTTCAGTATTTTCTTTATATTCTAGAGGAAAATGCATGCATTCCCAAGGCTAAGAGAATAACTATATAAAATTCATAATTATATGAAATAACTATAACCTAATTAAACTGTAAAACATTAAGTAAAAGCACAATTGAAAGATTCAAGTATAAAATACTTTTCCTGGTCTTGAGGTTACGATTCAATTATTTTAACACTAAATTGAACACAAAAGTTAACACATTATTCTTTTCGTGTAGAATGTATTTCATAAAATGTATATGTGTCTAACCACACATCCAGTGCTTGAATACTTTCCCACTTCTTCTATCTCACTGAACAAATGAGATTAGACAGGTGAAAGTACTGTGCATTGGGCCATTTAAGAGACATTGGTGATTATTCTTTTAGAGATAAGAATTAGGTAGTAATCTCTGCAGTTTGTTCCATTTTGATAAGATTTTATTATTTTTAAAATTACATAAAGCAAAGAATACAGCATGGGTCAGCTAGAAATGGAATTTACATCTTCATAATGAAATAGACACTGAATAATATTTTAACCAAAACCATAACAACCACAGTTGAGAGGATGGGGAGACAGAAAGTAAGGGAGCATGAAGTTGAGGTGGGAAAAGGGATGAAAGAGAACTAAATCTTCATCTTCCACAATACCAAAAACCTAGTTTATTGGAAACAGGAAGGTCAATGCCAAAACGAACAGTGAGCAGTTGAAAGTAATTGCCTCTAAGGAAAAAGAAATTGGCGGGGGCGGGGGGGGGAGGAGGATGCAGTGATATAGAGGGGATTTTTGAAGCCTTATAGAATCATCTGACTAAACAGTGTACCTTTTCACTTTGATTTAAAAAGAAAGGTTATTACTTGCATGTAATCAAATCTTCCATAGCTCCTACTCATGTTAATCCGATCTACTTTGTGGGGTCATAGAAGAGTGGACATGTCACATGCATGGAAAATCAAATGAATTTGCCAAGAGACATGCTCTCCTCATAAAAAGATCTTTAAAGAGAAGAAAATGTGGGTGGAGAAAGAGAATATCAGTGAGAACAGAATGAAAACAAAGATAAAGAAGGTACTTGGTGACCTTTTTCTCCCTCTAGTAATTAGAAAATGGAATAGAAAACGGTACTTAATGCTTCAGAAATCTAAATATCAGAACACAGTGATGAGTACTTTGGGAGAAATGTGACCTTGTTATCTTCGTGTTATAGTTCATTAGTGTAGTTCCAGTTCTCCTTACAGGTATAAGGTAGAATGACACTTAGCTCCCTCTCCCCGCAACCTCTGGTAAAGTTAGTTATGGCTACTCTGCAACTTACCATGGCAAATAAAATCTGAAGAAAAGTGGCATATGTCTCTTCTGGGCAAGTTTTAACAGCTAACGTGTGATACATCAGGCTTTATTGTCTTCTGTCACAATCACCAGAAATGCTCAAATGGTGGCTGTTCTGTCAGCATAAGCACAACAAAGAACCCCCAGTTAATGTGTAATAAGCCTATGATATAAGAAGAAATAAACCTTGTTGTTTTAAGCAACTGAGATTTGAGGGGTGCTGTGGACTGAATTGTGTACCCCAAAGTTCTTATATTACAAGCCTAATTCCCACTGTAACAGTTGAGAGTTGGAAATGCTATTATGGTAATTGAAAGGTGGGGCCTTGGAGAGGTGACTGGATTGCAAGGACTGAACCCTCCTGAATGGATTGATCCATTTTTTGAATAATGGGCGTGGTTCTGAAGGCTTTAAAAAGAGAGTGCATGAGGAACACTCTCTCTCTCTCTGCTAAGCCATTTCCTGACATGTGAGACCCCTGCATTGATGTAAAGCCACCACCAAACAAGACCCTCACCAGATGTGTTCCCTGGACTTTGGACTTCCCAGCCTCTGAAACCGTAAGCAATAAATTTCATTTTCTTATAAATAACCCAGTTCCAGGTATTTTGTTATAAGCAGCAGAAACGACTAATACAAGGGGTTACTATTGCAGCATAAGGTATTCTATCTTCACTGGCATACAAACTAAAAGTGGGATGCTGCCTTAACAAAAACCCCAAAATACTGGCTCAGGGGCCAAGCAACACAGAAACTGTCCTGGCCTACTCAACGAAACACACCAGAGACGAACTCAGCAAGTGATCTCCATTAAGGAGTGACAAAACATTTGATAAAACTGTTGCTACAAGAATTTGGAGGTGACATGTATCTAATGAATTTATAATGAATGTGTGCCTAGGTTCGTGTGGCTAATGAACTTACTTATAGGCCTGGGAGAAGAGGCTGGAAGACAGAAGATTAGTACTGTGTGAGGACTGCTGTTGGTTGTGTTTAACATGGTGTTAAAACAAAGATACACAAAAAAGAACCACCATTCAAGAGACTAGCTGTTCAAAACTTAAAACAATCATTAGGCCCCCACCCTTCTATGGTCAGTAAGCAAGCTGACAAAACTGCTCAGTCACAGAAAGAGGTCATATTCTCCAAAGTCAACTTCAAATGTGGCTGCGGATAATAAAAATGGAACTCTCACCCAGCAAAACCAAAGACCATGGAGAACTATGCTCCAGGGCATATGTGCACAATGAGAACAATTTGTTGCTGGTCTACGATCAGATAAATACAGAAAGTGAGTATAAATGTTTAGAAGCTATTACAGCAATCTCACATTGTAATTTTATGTCTGTTGAATCTAATAATCTTTAAATTGGGCTTGTGATTTTATGTTTTTTATTTCACTTTTCCTATAACTTATTTTTATCGTGTTTAACAAATATTTAAATTACATCTGATTTTTTTTTTCTTAACTGGACTGGAGAACCTAGAGAACAAAATTAGAGCCCTAGCAACATCCACCCAGAGAGATTTCAAGTATGGATTGCCACAGTCTAGAGTTATGGTGTCTTGCATTCTTCTCCTCTCCAAATGGGAACACTTATAGTTATCTATGCATTCCACACGCAGTAGGAGACAGATAAGGTGTCTAGAGACCAGCAAAGATATTACCACTACTGGATATTACTGACATCTGGAACTTCAAGCTTGACACAGTGACTGGATGGGATTTTTGGATTATCTCCACTGGGAAGAGTGAATGATGAACTGCATGAAGGAAGGAGTGTATTTGTTGACAAGGGTTAAATGTCCAAATGTTTCCAGTTCTCTACACATGTTAAAATTATACTTCCCAATTTCCTTGAGTTAGGTATGGCAATGACTTGATTTGACCAATGAAATGTACAAAGTGATATATGTAACTTCCAAAAGCTTTTAAGAGTCAGTATACATGTGTCATGAATCATGATATACTTTCTCTCCAATATGAGGACTGACAACACGCGAAATAATGACTTCTCTGTCAGCCCAAGCCCAGAAAGAGAATATAGGGCTAAGCTCCCAGATTATTCAGTACGAACATAAAATAAACTTTGTTGTTTTAAACTTCTACAGGTTTGTAATAACAGGGGTTGTTATTAACAGGGG